TTAAAACTAGACTTGTGTTCTACAACTCAAAAGGTTTGGACAGTGTAATGCTAAGAAATCCAGCATATTTTAACTGCACAAATACTTATTATCTAGTACTAGGGTAATTATTGGGGAGTGAATAAAACAACGATCCTTTCCTTTGCAGAGTTTATAATCTACAGAGGGGAAAAAACAATAAACATGGGAACAAACAAGTATATGAGAATCTTTGTTCGTTTGGCTTCTACAACAAAATGCCATGCCCTAGGTGTTATCTTGAAATTTATTTCCTACAGCTCTGTGGTCAGGAGTGGAAGCTAAAAACACTAGCAGCCCTGGTGTCTGGTGAAGGTGCCTTTTCTTCAGAGGTGGTGCCTTTTCCTTATGTCCTTACAGAGTGGAAGGGGTGAGACAGCTCTCTGTGGCCTCTTCAACTGATGGGATTATTGTCTGTGAGCCTTCAACTGGTGATAGTCCCCAAAATGCCATCTTCACATAGAGGCCCCAGAGAGGGAAATGTGAAAATTTCGGGCTAAAATTGTGCTTGGAAAGGAGATTAATGAGACTAGGAAAGAAATTCATTTGGGAGTGGGAATCTGAGTTAAATTTTGAGCAAATTAGGAGGTCTTTGAAAAATCAAAGTATACCACAAAGAGTACCATAGGAGCATTGATCTAGTGCTTAGATGCTGAGATGGAGGTGTAAATTTGAAAACCACTGGAATAAAAACAGAATAAGAAGACTTACTGTCTCCTGAGAACAGATTTAGCTGAGGGGGTAGGGAGAAAGCTGAAGTAGGTTGAGAGGAAGTTGAGACAATGGATAATTGTTACTTTTCTCATTGCTGAGACAAAATAACCAATGCCCAAAGTTAAAGAGGGAAAGGTTTAATTAGTTCACAAGTTTGTAGAGGTTTTGGTTGATAATTAGCTGACTCCAAGGCAGGTTGGCACATGGCAGAGGGATAAAAGTTTTTCTGTCCCTTATACTGTATGCAGGCTATCTGCCTAGGGCAGTTGTAAGACACACATGTTAATCCTTAATCCTAGCATTGAATTTTTTTTTTTTTTTTTTTTTTTTTTTTTTTTTTTTTTTTGGTCTTTTTGAGATGAGGACTCAGGCTGGCCTTGAGCACACTTTGTAGGCCAGGCTGGTCTTGAACTTTCTGCAATCCTCCTGCCTCAGCCTCCTGAGTGCTGAGATTACACATGTGTGCCACTAGGCCTGGCAGCATTGAACCTTTGATCAATCACAGAGTTTAGATTCAACCGCACCCATGGCTACATGAGGCTTTAGGGGAAGATCAGAAACAAACCATACAACGACAGACGTAGATCATTCTTTCACATACATTGTGAAAAAAAAAAAAAGAGATTTAAAAAGAAGCTTAAGGAAGAAGAAGGGGCAGAATGCATGTATTGTATGAAAAAAGTTTTTGACTATGAGCAAGAGGTATCAGTAAGAGTAAGACTAGAAATCTAAAGAGATTGGGTTGAAATGTGTGGACTGAAATAATCAATTCTCAGAGGAAGAAGAAAGCAATGGAATCCTGAATACAGAGGGCAGAGTTATCCAGTAAAAGAACTGATGAACAGGGATTAACTCAGGACAGTAAACAAGGCAGGTCAGAAGACGGGTGAGAATCTATAGATTTCTGACTGGAAATGACTTCTGTGTTTGTGAGTGTACTGGGACGTGATTCCGTCTGCTGAAAGTGAGAGGGTGAGATAAGGTAAAGAATTTCCCTAGTTCCTGCTGCAGATAAAGGAGGAAAGACATGTGAACACCGCATGATTGTTACCCTAAGGCTCGTCCTCACCTTCGTAAGGCTGTGACTATCAAACCTGCACATGATAGCTTTATTGATTTCAAGTTTCAATTCCTCTTTAGACTAAATTCCTTTATTGATTTTTCTATATGCTATTAGCTCATTTTATAGCATGTCAGGGCAATGAAGCTATTAATCTGTTCCAAATTCAAGTAAATTTTCAATTAACAAGGCTTTATGGTCTTCCAGTTTTCCTTGATTGGATGGATGACATTAAGGATAAGCAAAACATTTTAAATTTGTCTCAGAGGACCAAATTTTTCCCCAGCCTTGATAAGAGGAGCATAAAAACGAGCAAATTTTGAAATGTCGGCAAAGTTTCCCCTCTGCTGATCACAGTAAATATGAACATTTCAGTCTTTCATTTGTGGAAATTGTACTTTATCATTCTTTTTTTTTCCCCCACTGACACTAGAATGTAATTCATTTGTAATCAGTTTTAAAGTCAGTGATTACCCTTGATCCATTGTCAGTTCAGGGAGAACTATTTTCCAAGAAGGCACAAGTTTCTTTACAAGGAGTTTAACTCAATATTTATTAATACTTCCACGGCCTGTACTTGGGTAAACATAAGCAAAGCTCATTCACAGTCCGTATTTTTGGCATATACTACTTTACCACTTGGAATTATGACTCTTAAAATTTCAAATCTTTGGGGACTATTTTATCCATTACTAAGAATGGATTCATTTTAAGCAAAATATTAAGACTAAGCAATGTTGTCACCTGAGTTGTTTTGTTTTTGTTTTTTGTAAAGCAGAGGTAGATAGAATTAAGGACTACTCAATTTCCTGTATTCACAAGTCATTGATCTAAAATGCTAATTTCTGTTTCAGTTTCTGCAATCAATTCTGACTTTTTTTTTTTGGGTACCAGGGATCAAACTCATGACCTTGTGCTTACGAGGCAAGCACTTTAGCCACTGAGCTAAATCCCCAGCCAATTCTGACTTTTAACAGGGATAATTTTAAGAAACACAGACCAGTCTTTGGTGGGCCTAGAATCCCTGAACTGGCTGAGAGTGCATCTAGGTGTCACGATATTTCCAATCATTGGTCCTCTGTACCCTTACCCAGCTGTTGATTGCAGGGTCTTAAGAAACAGAATACCTGGATCTGACTCCCCCCTCTCCTGCTGTCCATGCTCTGTGGTGCTGAGTAACTTATCTCATTTTTTTGACTCTCAGATCCCTTATCCCTGAAACGTTGTTAGAATATTTTCATTGCGAGGGTGTTATGTAATGCCTCACTTTAGTCTGGCAACAGAAGGTAGATTCATTTCCCCATTTCCCCAATTCCTGCACTACACAAAATTACGACAGGTAGAGATTTGCTTTCAGTACGCAATTTAGGAAGTGCAGTTCTGTGACCTGCGCTTGGCTACCTGATGATTCATCAACTGCCTGCTAGTTGAGTTCAGTGTCACTTTCACATAAACTTGTCACTCTATTCGGACAAATGCCTGTATTTGGTGAACTACTTCAATGATCACCATATGTTGTCACCATATATTTTCCTACTATCTTATGATTGTTTTAGACTCTTGCTTTCTGGGAGTTACTTATTGCTGCCACAAAAAGACATGTTTTATTTCTACTTCATTTATAGTTTTTGCTTTGGTGACATGTGATAAAAAGACTTAAACATCATCTATTTTCTAATATAGAAATAAAGAAATTTGTCACTTTAAAGAAAAATGTCAACTTATGATGGTAGAAAGATTCAGTATACATTATAAATAACATACACACTTGGTAGAAAATGCTGGTAATTGAAGAATTTGTAATTTACATCATGTCAAAATTTATTGCTCCTTTAAGGGAATGATAAAAGCCATAAGAATTTTTAAACTACAGAATTTTTAATAGTTTTCCAGATTTTGATACTGAGAAGCCAAGATAAAAAATTCACAAAGTCAAATGAAAAGCAGTCAATGGCCAAAGTTAAGCCATTTATTTGAATGATTCATGGGTTGTCTTTCTCTTTTAATACCATTTTCAACAGAACAGTTTATTTGCCAATTTCTTTATATAATGAGCTTTGAAATTAGAATATTTAAAGAATAGCTAATGAATTTTCTTGCTTATTCCACTGGTAGCAGAACAATATGTCTAAATTTAGAGTTTTCTCTATACAAGTGTCTGTATATATATTTGCTTAATAATCACATACTAAGGAAATATACTTATTCAATAACACTGTAGGTTGTTTACAAAGTCCTTATTTTTCATTATCATCTTGATGTTTAGATCTAGAAATCTTTTAGATGATTTAAATATACACATATTGATTGTTCAGAACAGTGATAGAATAATGATGTGAATGAACTACCACACTTTCTGCACCTCTGAAAACCAATACATGGTCTGTATTCACAAGCAATAGTTTTAAATGCCTATTGGTTGATTGCAAAAAACAAAAAACAAAAAACAAGACAAAAAAAAAAAAACAAGAAAAAAATCATAGACCTTCAGATTAAATCTTAAATCTTCACCTTGTTCAAAAAGTAATCAATGAAAAGTAAGCCAGAGAGAGTAAATTAAAATTAGTCACTAGACCTCAAAGCATAAGCTTCACAAGATATCACTTATCATTTGTTCTTTTCATAAATACAGACACATCATTCACACACAGTTCTCTCACAGTATTTTTCTAAAAGACAATTTGCAATCCTTTAGGTCACCAGATGATAGAACCAAGACCTTCTCATGGAGTCTTTTCATATGGAAATGTTTTCCTCTTATATTAATACAGCTTTGATCTAGAAGGTTTGGGGAGAAACCCTAAGAGAGTAAAAGCACGTGCTGATAAAATTTAGAGGGGCCAGGGTGGCGGTGTATGCTGGTGGTCTCAGCACTTGGGAGGCTCAGGTTGGAGGATTGCTGTGAGTCTCGGGTCAGCCTGAACTACATAGCAAAACCATGTCTCTAAACAAAAACAAAACAAAAAACCCAAACAACAACAACAACAAAAAACCCCAAAAGCCTGAAATAAGTTGGATTTTTCTGACTCTTCCAAAATGATGAAGTCATTAAAATGACAGGACACTATTACTGAATGTAAATCCTTTGAGGAATGGCCAGTGGAGTACAGCTAAAAATATTCTAGTACCCATGAACTTCGTGAACGGTTAACCTTAATTGGGTCAAGCAAGCATCCTTCTTTCTCATTTCCCTATACAAGTGACTTACAGCTTTCAATCTCCAGGGTGCAGTTCTGCTCATCCAGAGGGTATCTTCTAAGATCCATCATACATGCAGCCGTGGTTGTGATCCTGCCAAGGTGAGAGAGAAAAAAAAATTGTAAAAGGTATATTATTGTTTTGAATTTGCATATCTTTGGCATTATAGGCCTCCTAACCTAAGATCAAGCTTATCAGATTATAAAATAAGACAAGAAAACTTTATGCAGTCATCAGGATCTACTATGAACAATTACACTTGATCAGCACAGGATAATCATAAACTGTTGTGAGTATTTAAATTGAGAAATTTATCACAGCAAAAGACTCATTGCCATTATTCCATTTCAAAATATTTCCCTTTGTTTTGAACACATTTATCCTATACTTCTTGGCAATGTGTATAATACTTTTACAGTAATAGCATTTTACAATTTAAAATATTCACTGTATCTTTCAATCACACCTTATTCATGTCAACAAACTGGATAATCTAGATGGATAGGGGAAAATAGATACATTCTCAGAAATACATAACCTATCAAAACTATTTCCAAAAGAAATAGAAAGCTTGAACGCACTAATAAAAATCAAGGAGATTAAATAAGTTATCAAAACCTTCAACAGCAACAAAAACACTTCAATGTCTCATGACTTTCTGGGTGAATTCTACCCATAATTCATAGGAAAATTAATGTTTACTCTTCTTAAACTTCACAAATTAGAAATGGTCAGATTCCCAAACTCTATTTTTATGAGATTAGTACCACACTGATTCTAAAACTAGACAAATGCAGTACAAGAAAATTACAAGCCAAGTTTTTGATAAAGAAGTTGCAAAAATCCTCAATAAATTATTTTAAAAACACACAAATCAATAGCATTTAAAAAGATCATTCACCTTGAAAAACAAAGTTTATTCCTAGAATGTAAGAATGTACACATCACAATCAGCACTAGCCAAACTAAAAAATTTACAAATTCAGTGCAAGAGAGATCAAGGGCAAAAATAATTTATGTGATATTTCATACTAACAAAATAAAAAGAAACATGGGATTATTTAAGTAGACACAGAAAAATTTAAAACTGTTCCTTTAACTTCTGGAACGAGGTACAGATGCCCCATTGTCCCACTTCTGTTCAACATAGTACTGGTAGTCTTAGCCAGAGCAGTTAAAAAAAAAAAAAAAGGAAATAAAAACCATACAAATAAGAATAGAGTAAGTATCTATGTAGGTATCATGATCATATACAGAGAAGGCTCCACAAATAACTGCTGCAATTAATAAATCACTTCAATAAAGTTGCAGGGTATAAAATCAGTATATAAAACTTGATAGTGTGTCTGAATGCCAAATACTTAATTGTCTTTTGAAAGTAGGTATTCTAATAAGTGTGAGGTATAATTTCAGCTTTGATTTATATTTTTTAAAGGATTAAATGCCATATGCCAATTGAACATTTGATTTTTTTTAATTTTTGAGAAGTGTTTATTTTATTCTTTGGCCCATTTAAAAATCGAGTCACTGCATTTGAGTACTGAGTTGTATGAGTTTCTTATGTATTTCGAATGAGTCTCTTCAGAGATACATGGTTTGCAAGTACTTTCTTTTATTCCATATGTTATGTTTTCATTGTTCATTGTTTTCTTTCTTATGCAGAAGTATTTTAGCTTTTTGTACTCTCATTTGTTTATATTTGCTTTTCCTGTCTGGGATTTTGTTATTATATTTAAAAAACTTATTTCCAAGCTAGGCATGGTAGTGCATATCTCTAATTCAGTTACTTGTGATGCTGAGACAGGAGGATCATAGCTTCAAGGCCAGTCTTGCAATTTAGCAAGACCTTGTCCCAAAATAAAATTAGAAGGGCTATGGATGTAGCTCAGCAGAAGAGTGCTTGATTAGTATGTGCAAAGATCTGGATTTAATCCTCAGTGTAAGAGAGATGGGGGTGAGGAAAACAGAGGGAGAGGAAGAGAGAGAGAGAGAGAGAGAGAGAGAGAGAGAGAGAGAGAGAGAGAGAAAGAGAGAGAGACAGAGAGAGAGACAGAGAGAGAGACAGAGAGAGAGACAGAGAGAGACAGAGAGACAGAGAGACAGAGAGAGAGACAGAGAGAGAGACAGAGAGAGACAGAGAGAGAGAGAGAGAGAGAAAAAATTAGGGAAATTGCCAGGAGCTATTGCCATAGCAATAAACCTTGCCAAGAAGGTTTAACAGTGTATTGCTAGTGAATTCACTGTTTCAACTTATATATTTAGGTTTTTATTTATTTCAAGTTGCTTTTTATGTGTGGTATGAGATAGAAGTCAAATTTAGTTAGTTCATTTTTTATATATGGATATTCAGTTTTTATATACCATTTTTAAAAATTGCTGTGCTGTAGTATGTATTCTTGATACTCTTAATGAATCCTAGTTCACTGTTGTATTGATAAGTTCTCCTGCTGCTGGGAAAAAATACCTAAGACTCACCATTTAAAGGAAAAAAAAAATCTCATTTGGCTCATGGTTTCGGAAAGTTTAGGCCATGGTTGGCTTGTTCCAAAGCAGAAACCTTACGGTAGAAGGGGTTGGGGAGGAATGCTGCTCACCTCTTAGAGCCCAGAAACAAAGTAGGGGTACAGTAGGGAAACGGCAGAGAAACAGAGAGGAAGGGGCCAGGGGCCAGATACTGTACATCAGGTCATGTTCCATGACCACACACGTGGAAGTGCGCTTTACTAACATCTTACCAGGCTCTCAAGCCGATGAATTTGACAGTCTAATTTAACTACTATGACTGTAAATGTATGCTTTTTACTTCTGGGTTCTGTATGCATACTCCATTGTGTATGTGTGTTTTTAAGCCATTAACATTCTGTTTTTATTTACTATAGATCCGTGTTATAGTTTAAAGCCATAAAGTATGATGCCTTTAGCTCTGATCCCAAGACCTATTGATGTGACTGAGGATAACTCACACAGTTTTTCATACTAATTTTAATTAGATCAAAGTAAGTTTCTCTTATACCTATTTTGTTATCAGTTTTTACAATGAAAAGACATTGAATTTTTCAAAACCTTCTTTTCTGCCTCTTTTGAGTTGAGTCTGAGCTTTTAATTCTTTATCTTTGCATCCTAGGAATGAATGCTTGCATTGCAGGAATAAATCCCACTTGGTTGTGTACGATTATTTAAGTGTACTCTCAAATTTTCTTGGTAATATTTTACTAAGGACTATAGCACAATAATAATTAATATAGTTAAATAATTATCTGTCACAACCTTAAGCCAATGATATCACAATAAAGCTGTTAAAATTTTTGTGGTTGATTTTTAAGGTAGGCAGATTGGGTTGAGTCTTCATTTCCTTCTCACTGATGGTATGAGTCCAGAACAATTAATGATGTCCTAAAGCTCAGTGCCCTCATTAATGAAAGCATTCAGTATTTCAGATTGCTCTGAGGATTAAGAAGGTTAGTATGTACAAAGCTCTCAGCCTAGTGCCTGTACTTTTTAGGCACTCCCTAAATGATAGTCTGTACTGTCTTACAGTTCTTCTCATATTCACCAGCATCCTACAAATAGGTCTGGCAGTGTTTATAAATTTTGTGAGTAGAATCTACATTGTGCATAAAGTCCTGCTTCCTTCTTATGACAGCCTAAAACAATAATAGCAAAGCCTGCCTTCTTATGGAGCCTCATACTCTCCACTGTTGGTTAGATCTGTAAGATTCAGCTCTAACCCTTGGCCTACTTACAAGCCAGGCAGTAAAGAGCCAGGGAAGAAACACGGTGCTGGGATGAGTGCTTACAGCTCAGCTGCACTAAGGGCTTATGCTCACCCCTGGGGCCCAGCTGGTAGACACCTCACCTGTACTTCCATGATCCCTCCATTTTCTCTGACTTGGGATGGTTTTCTGAAGTGTGGAGTTTGAAACAAGCTGAAATCCATATGATCAGTTCACTGGTACAAACTTTACAATTGAAAACGTGTTATCAAAAGTTACATAGGCCTCCCCCAGAAAGCGTAATCATCATATAAAGAATTGGAAAGATTCACATTTAATAGTATCTTTCCTTTATACTTTATGTTCCAGTTAATTATACAACATATGAAATTGTTCAATTTTGAAACTTCCTAGAACTACTCATGAAATGGAAGCACATCTATGTCTTCTTAGTGGTAAAACATCTTCCATACCCAAGCAACACACTGTTTTGTACTATGGCTATTTACCTTAACAACACATGTTAGATTTGGTTCTAAGACAAGTAAACAATAAACCATCTTTTAAAAAATGCACTATAATACTTTTAGTTGTTGAAAATACTGTAATATATTTCTCTACTCATCCTTTAGTAGGCATTTATATTGTTTTATTTCTTCAAATGAAAATGTTTTGAATATACTGTAATAATACATTATATGCTCTGTGACTATGTGAATACAAAATATACTTCACACTATAGTATACAATAAATATGTGCATGTATACACATATATTTTCATTTCATACTTATATATCTACTTGCATCTCTAAAGCTATGTATCACTTAACAACAGGGACACATTCTGAGAAACGCATTATTAGATGATTTTGTTATTGTACAAACATAGTAGAGTGACTTCCACAAATCTTGATGATACAGGTCAGTCATGGAGTGGCCTCCTGATGAGGCTGCATGAGGCGGCTCTCAGTGTCACATGCATACTGTTTTATAGTAAAAGCTTTTTAATGAGTACATGGAGTATACTCTAAAATAATAGTAAAAATTTAGTAATTCATAAACCAGTAACAGAGTTTTTAAATCTTTATCAAATATTATATATTGTGTATAATTGTGTGTGCTATATTTTTATTTGCAGTCAGTTTTTCCCCATTAGTATCATTATTAATATGCAAATAATAAGTGTCTGATGTTAGAACAGCTATGATTTCACCAGGCAATAAAAAGTTTTCAGCTCCATTATCACCTTATGGATCACCACTGTGACCAAAAGGTTGCTTTGTGGCACATGACAACATAAAATAAACTTTTCGCAACACCTGCACATATGTGAACATTCTATGAATACACCTCAGATCATTTTTTTTGAGTTTTTCGGA